GTCTCCCTGAATTATATTTTGGCTGTCATGGGATTCACTGTTATCCGATTCCGTATCTGTCTCACGAGATGATTCCTCCTCAACAGTGTAATGAGACGACAGAGCAGATGAAATTACGAGCTTGTCAACTGCTTGAAAATCATCCGGGTTACTCTGAGCGGGATTTTCGGGAGTTTTTACTTGAGAACTTTCATTACTTTGCTTTAAGCGCTTAAAACGTTGACTGAACTTATTGAATAATTTTCTTTTTTCTGATGAGGGATCCATGAATATGGGATAGGTATTGGTAATAATAGGTACCTATATCAAACGGTAATGAATGAGTAATTTAAGTAATTACCTAATTGTAACGAAGATATTTTTAACATTAATAACTATATGTATAGCAGTTAATATTGTAATTTGTAAGTACTTACCGACGTTCAGCACAAACAAATTTCGTAACCGCCGGCAAAAAGATTGAATAATAAAACGAAACTTGAACACAAACTCAACTTAACCTCACAAACACCGATACACGAGACGAAAGACCGCTAAAATAACCACGCCACGCTTCACGCTTGACACCAGCGCCACCAATGTCCGTTTCAATAAATTATAGAGGATGGATGGAAAGGTTGATATGGTTCGAATCCCGTCGTGATAATTTTTTTAAATCGAGAAAATTTAAGATTAATGTACATAAATTCATTTTTTAAGCATATTTAACTAAATTGCCGCGGAAGCGTCTCAAGAATTGTAAGATTGTTATTTAGGCTTTGTATGGAATGTTTATCGAACATCCCACGTAAAACGTCTTAGGAATGTACCAAAGAGAACATCTCAGGATTGTCGCACTTAGGGCCGGGACATTGGGGCATTGTAGAGACCCTAATGGTACATCCCTGGGATATCATGTGTTATTAGGGGTGAAGAGAAAGAATTTGGTGATTTAGTTGCAACAGAAATTGCAAAAATTAAGGATGGGACAAAAAGAAATTACTTAAAAAAATCATTACTCTATTCAGAATAACTTAAATAAACTATATTCTTTTAACATATTCTATTTGACCTTTTTTGAATCCTGGTGGACTTGTGAAATATTTTGCTAAATTATTTCTTTGTACATTGGATGTTACTGCAGCATTATTGCTTCCCAATCGAATACAAGTTTCTATAATACTACTCTCGACTTTTTGTCTCCATCCCTCTTCCGTGTCTACATAATTTGGTGGGCAGTAGTGTTTCCTGGAAGTAGTTGATTGCCTTATAAAGTTGTGTAAACACGTTGTTGCCTTTACAATGTTATCAACAGTACGCCTTTTAGAAAGGTATATAACCATGGGTGGAGTAATAGTACCGGATGAGGAAAAAGTAAACATTACCGTAAGATTTGCCTCAGCAGAGCCCCGGATCAACCTGATATTCAGAACCAAAAACACGTTTGATCCCATTGTATCCCTATAAATATCCCTCTACATTATGGACCATTTTCAGCTACATTACTGCTTGCTTTGATGACAGCTTCCGGGGTTCGAACAGTTTAATTTGGATGTAAAGAAAGCCTTATACAAGTGTCTACCTGGAGTCTTCACGGATGCTTAAATATCAAATTTTCTTCTGGGAAATTCTTTTCGATCAGAGACTTGTATAACTAGACCGCGCGTAACGTAGATTTTACTATAAACGCCTGTTCTCAAGATAGGTTAGGCAACCAACTGTTCATCGCGGGGCAGACGTACGTTCTGCAGCTTGCTTTAGCATATGTTTATTCTAAATTTTAATAGCAAAAAAAGATAACATATAGCTGTTAACTGTTTTAATCGAATTTGTTGGTATTTTATTTGAACTAAATTGGTATATAACTGCCTTACTCTAGTCCTAATTTGATTTATATGTTTATTTTGGTGGTGAACACGTATGGGAAAATATACTCTTAAAACTAAAAATGTAAGTAGTAAGATATGATTATTTAGCGGATTTTGATTCAATATATGCCTATCCAAAAACCCAAATGGGCTGTAACTGTTATTTATTTTTCTTAGACTGCTGATAACCATTTTGTTTACAACGCGGTGTGGTGTGGATTGAATGAAAAACCTGAACACATTTCAGCAATTTGGCAAATTTTTAATGCATCGCTTGATACGTGCAACAATCCTCCACGATTTTTTCTAGTTAAAAGCTTTGAATGACTCTCTGATGCGAATATCGCATCTGCACATATGGAACCTTTAACAGACTTAGCTATTTTTCTTGTAACAAAACCTGAAATATACTTAGTACCAGTAAGTACTTAGTTACGTCTATACCTAATAGGCAAATAGGTATTGCCGTTGTCTTGCTGGTAAAGGATGCCGAATAATAGTTCTACGTTATTTTAAGTGAATGGGAAAGTCGAAAACGCTCGGTATTGCATTATTTTTTAACACCTTCGTAGGTATCTTTCTAAAATCGGCTTCATTCCCCGCAAATGCACTATGGTGGGAGTACATTTTTCTCTTCGAATGGCTCTGATCCATTGGCCCTTTAAACTTTTATCCGTTGAAAATCAGCATATTATTAAAAAATTTATCGACAGAGTACATGTTGATAGGCACA